TAGAGCTCTGCGAGGAGCCAATTCCAGTAGTCCTTTATTCTCCTTTCACTTACTACTTCACAGCAAAAAGAAAACTTTACCTTTTTGATTTTTTTATAAATTGGCAGGATTTTTCTTTTTTTTTTTTTTTTTAATTGTTTCTGATTGTGCTTTAGAACAGTTGCATTTTGTTAGGATTTTAGCAGCAAGTATCTTCATTTTACACTTCTCTGGGCCAGCAACACTTACAGTCCTGGTGTGCAAACTGTCCTGGCACGGATGCTACCAGGTCTGACACAGCAGCATCGCTCCAAATCCCACCGCAGGGAGCAGAAAGATTCTCACTGTGGTTAATGCACTTTCCGCTAGGATCTCACACAAAAGATGGCAGGACCGAGTTGAGGAAATTTGTACTTCTGATTACTTGATTTTGGGCGACAGGGTTATCAAAACCCTTTTCCTAACCGGCATCGTATGTAGACTGTAAAGGATGCTGAGGCTGCTATGCAGAGTTAATTGAAGAGCCAGGTGTCCATTCTGTGAAATACCTGATATTTCTTTTTTTTTTTTCCTCCAATTTTAGTAACAGCATAAAGCCAAAAGTCCATTTTTGCTGTATCTCACACATCTGTAGAAACCCATGGCTGGACATTTTCCTTCTATGACGGTGAATCTTTTCTGTTTTCCACAATGCCCTGAAATTTTATTTTGACAAGGTCAAAACATTGCAGCACAACATAAAATACCGTAYAACACAACAACCGCACAACACGATACAAAATCCTGCAACACAGACCATGCTACAAGCCACGCAGGCCTCCGTGGCACGTGCTGTTCGGCGCGTGCACGCCTGCGCCCACGTGCTCCTCCTGCCGCCTCAGCGAGGACGGACGAGGCCAGTGAGGGATGTCGGGCATCGCATGGCGAGCGGAAAGCCACCCGCTGCATGGCAGCGACGGCGAGGCAGCCGGCGGGCTCTCACACGTAGTCACGCAGCCTGTAGCCGCGGTGCGGCGCGGGCGCCCGCGAGGACGCGCGGCTGCCCTCGCGGTCGGCGGTGGGCGCGCGGTGCCGGGGCGGTGCGGGGGCCGCCGCGAGGCTGGCGGCGCAGAGCAGCGCGCCGCCCAGCACGCTGAGCGCCGCGGCGGCGAAGCCCACGTAGACGGCCTGCCCCACATCGTACTTGAGGCCGCCGGGCGCCGCGGCGCCGTGGAAGTCGGCCACCACGCGGGCCGTGGTCCAGGCGACGGGCAGCAGGCAGAAGAGGCCGGCCAGGGCGAAGGCGAGCCCCGCGGCCAGGGCGGCCGGCCGCTTGGCGCCGGTGCCGGCGGCGCAGCGCGTGCACTCCATGCCCACGGCGGCCAGCGCGCACGCCAGCGCGGCCAGGGCGCACGAGGCCACCATGAGGGCGCGGGCGGCGCGGAGGTGYGGCGGCAGCGCCAGCTCGGAGCGGTGCCCTCGGCACTGGCACACGCCGGTGCTGTGCCACACACACTCCATCCAGAGGCCGCGGGCATAGGCTACGGCCGTGAGGATGGTGGTGCCCGCGTGCGCTGCGCGCCACCAGTGCGGCAGCAGCGTGGCCACGAGCGTGCCCAGCAGGCCCAGGAGGCCGAGCAAGAAGCCCAGCAGCTGCAGGGCCATGTGGGCCATGGCGGCGCTTGCCCGGCTTCCTCTTCCTAAGAAAGCGCCTCCATCCAAACGCCGTCGGAAAGCCTGGGCTTTTCTTGGAAGGGATGCAGCTGTTTTACTTTGACGCCTTCCGCTCCCCTAATAAAAGGTAATTGAGGGAAAAAGAAGTTAATGATMGCCCAAACGCGCTGCCGCGCCAGCCAGTGAGGTGCTTTCCATGGGCAGCGAGTGCAGTAATTAGCATAGTTATCGCCACTAATCGTGTTTTTTGTGGAAGTAATGGGAAAGCAAGCTTCCCGCTTYGCTTATATAAACAGTCTTCTGCTGCCCACTGGGAAGCAAACTCACCAAAAGTTATGAAATGGAGAAGGAAAAAATACTCCAAATTCAAATATTCTCCTTCCCAGCAGACTCTTCAAAAAAACAAACATGATTTCCTTTCTAAAGCAGAGAATTAGCTAGTGTTAACACTTGGAATGAATGAGATTTATAAAGTAGGGGACTGCAGGTTGCTTTGCATGATGAAAACATTCCCAGAAGGTCATAGCAGGACTACAAAAACAATAAGGGTGTATTTGCTCAAGCTAGGGAGCAAAGAGAGTGATTTAAAACCTGTGGAAGAGGATAACAAGTATTGGATTAAAGTTGCTTTCCTGAAGTGCCAGTATTTTTTGAGGTTGCATTTTAATAAAGCAACTCAAAGGGGAATCATTTTCATTAGCCTCTGCAGAGTTTCGGTTTATGATTTGAGGTTGTGGGCTAAATGACAGCATGTGAAACCAGATGTGCATCGTGGAGCTTCTGAGGAGCAACACCTTCACAGTTTCATTGCGCATAAATTCTAGCGGAAAAACAAGGAACAGGAACTCTTCCTCCCGTATAAATCGCAGTATAAGGGATCTTTTCCAATGGCTGCCTCGCAAGGTCTGTTATACATCACACATCATGTGTGTGGGCAGAAACCCGATATTTTAATACATAAAATAACTGTTGCATCAAAATCCAACTCGGAATTCAGGAACAGGAACAAATTCAGGCTCTGATCCTGCAAAGAGCTATGCATGTGCTGGACGCATGTGCGTAAGAGAAAGCCTAAGTGTTTGCAGGACTGGGCCTTAGCAGGCGAGGGAAGAAAAGCATCTGGCAAAACTAATGAAGACCATCAGAAAGCAAAGCAGTGTAGAATGGCAAAAGTGAAGGCTGGTTTAAATTCCCCCTGCCTCACTAACAAGGCAGGACTGCTGGAGGTGAGCATCAGCGCTGATCTGGGTCTTCAGATGACTTCATGGCATACGCTGATCCCTGCGTAGCACAAACATGGGATGTCTCTTGCCAGAACAACTCAGAATCTACCTCGGACGTTGTGCCAAAGAAGAAAAAAAAAATTAAATACAGGGTTTATTTAGGCTGAGCAGGGCAGCAATAGAGAGCGGAAGACAAACTCATACTTACGTTCTTTTTCATTTGTTTGGAGTGTGTCTGCTACGCACAGACATACAGGGTGGGAAGGAATGCAATATTGGATAAGATCTGTGGAGAAGTACCAGGTCCTTTGACTGCAAGGCAAGAGAAATAACAAAGACTGGCTTTGCTTTAGCTTGGCTMATTTTAGGAGGCGTTTTACTGCTTTTGGGTCTTCGTGGCCTTTCAGAAACTCCGTACATGGTGCTTAGATTAAAATAAGTTATTTTATGTRTTATGTAAAATAATTTGTCTGATTTGCACATAGCCATAAAAATATAGAAGTTTAGGTATCAGAAATCATTGCTCCAGGTATGTGCCATTGAATCTCTCTGGGTTCTGCGAGGGAAGATCCCATTGCAGATTTCTTTCTCTTTGTCACAGCTGTCACAGACTATCTGATACAAAGGTTCATATGTTAGAGCCAAACACAGTGCAGAGGAGCAAAGTCAGAAACAGCCAAATGGGATATCTCCAGCAATACTAAACCTGGGATTTCCATTCCCACCACTTGCTTACCCAGCCTCTGTCTTTCAGTGTATTTAGTTTTGGCTCCTATAATAAGCATAAGCGAAAATAAACAATATTTTCCATTTTCACATTATAGCTTGTTTCCTGTGAAGTGTACCATTGTAGTATCTAAGCATGGCACATACTTAGAAAAAAWTATCTTTATGATACTGCTCCAGGACCAGTGAGAACTAGACAGTGAGAACATTTGGGACACTGCAAGAGAGTGAGAAATTTATAGAGGTCCCACAGGAAATCTGTAACTGAATGGGAAATGGAACCGAGGCCCGCTGTGTTCCCATCCCAGGTCCTAATCAGAAATAAATCCCAAGTCTCCACAAACTCTGCCAGACCATCCTTCCCTTGTTATTTTGCCCTGTGCAGGTCTGGGGAGAAGTGGAGCCCAGGATCATGCTGTTCCCAGTTCCTCAGTCCACGCATTGTACCTGGGTATTGCAACCACTCAAAGGAGTGCTCTAGGTTACTCCTGTAAGCACACAGGCTTTCAAGGTCAGGCATTAGGCTTTGCAGCTAATCCCAGAGAGAACAGGATATAAAAGGTAAATGTGATTTACACCACCCTTCACAGGAAATGGACCTCCTTTTTAATGGAGGTCCGAATACTCTGGGGCTTGGCAGCAGCTATTTTTAGATATCATTAAGGTGCCATTTTTAAACATTAGCTATTAAGAGCCTTCTAATTTGGGAAGCTGGTGCTAATTAGCCGCACTTGCTTGACATCATGTTTTCCATGTGCCTTTCTCAGTGGATGCCAGCTGCCCCTGGCGTTCAGCAATGCTTTAACTGCTGTAGAACAATCTTCTGTTCTCTACTTAAGCAGCAAAAACAACAATAACTCAACACCTTTATCTCTAAGAACATCAATGGCCTTGTTAAAATACCTCACCCTTACAGCTTCGCCCCTACGCGGCGGTGTCGGGAACATGACTATTACRGCAGAATCTGGTTGCATATTTCCTGTGGGTTGAAGTGCAAGCAGCAAAAGAAGGCACCTTTCTGCACGGACGGTGTTTGCTATTGCTCTTTCAGAGAGCACAAACTAGTGGCGGGCTGAGCCCAGCTGGGCAGTGAGGGAGCCAGGGGCAGCAAAGGAGAAGGCTGCTGAAAGGCTCTTCCTCCTGCAGGGAGGCAGTGGGGTTAGTGCCTCGGTGGGCAGGAGCAGCCTGCTCAAACTAAGCTGGACTTCTCATGTCAACCTCTTGCTGGCTCTGGCAGAGCCCATCAGCCCCACTGCTGCTGCACGTGGTGCTCATTCCCTGGTGCTCCCGTTAGCCACAGGGGTGTCCGCCTGTACCCCACCAGTACCAGCACAAGCAACGCTCACAGATCTCATGGGCTCTCCTCCAACCCTGTCACCTCAGACACAATGTTTTGTCTTTATCCACTCAGTGAAATCCGGCCTAGACTGGCAAGAAGCTCCGTGCTGGCTCCACGCTGAACCCCTGCAGCAGACCYGGTTTGATTAGCACTGATATTTTGCTGGCATACACCGAGTGATGGATCCCAGTGTKAGGACCCCATAATTGGACCTTGAAAAGAGCAGGTCAGATGCATGTTTAGTCTTCATGGCATATTCCATCTGAGCAAGGCACAGTTGTAAAATAATGTGAAAATTTGTGAGGAGAGACTATGAAAGATTTGAATTTCCTTGTTCTGCCAGCTCATGCCGGCTCTATTTTTATGAGCACAAGGGTTGGAAAACCAACCTTTCCATATAAACTTTTGTTTTGTCTAGGGCTGGTGTGATACAAGAACAGCCATAGCTGGGATTGATCTGTGGTGGCACGTTACACTGGGCTCTAGCACAGCTGCGGTAGCCTTGGGAGACACGTCTCCAAATTAAGCTCTAATTAAGGAGCAGAAAATGGTGTCACTAATCTGAGTATTTACCCAGGATTAAATAACAGATGCATGTTTTACTGCTGTCTCTTTCATTGTTTCTTCTTTTACTGTTCTCCTCCCGTATCATCCTTATCCTTTTACTTCTGTTCTTTCCAAGCCCTTTCTCCAGATCCGTGAAATGCTTCTTCTCATGCAGATTACGGCTGTGGTGCCTCTCATGCCCCAGGTTGCAGAACGTTCTGCCAATGAATTTTAATTCAATGATTTCTCTTTTTCTATTGTGTATCCTTACTTAGCTGTGTTTTCACTTCACATTCTCAAATTCTTTACTCAAAACCTCAAATTTCCTCAAAAACTTAGAATCTCACAATTCCAACTTCTGGAGTGCAAGCGCGAAGTGATGAGACTAAATTCTGCCTTCTGGACTTGATGATATCCTTTGCCCTTATCCGTCCAGGCTACAGAGCAAGGAAACACGGGGCCTGAAGTTCTCCCTGTTGTGGACTTCAGTTGAACCCTTGAGTGTATATGCTCATTCTGCGTGCTTATGAGATCCTGCTTAATCCCACGTAGCCTGAGTTCGGGAAGTGGGGTGCATGTCTCAGTACTGGCCAGATCAGAGCTTTAGCATGCACCACTTTGGCAAGGCAGCAAGGCAGCTGCCTGCTGCTAAATGCCAAGCCTGGCCGCTTCCCCTCACCACCACGCCCCTCAAACGCTGGCTTTTTCTGGAACGTTTGCTGGGTACTTTTCAGTCTTTAAGATGTGATCCCTGCATATATTCGATGTGGGTAGGTAGATCTGAAGGGAAATAAGGCCTGCAGGGCTTACAACACAGTTCTTGTCTTTTTTTTTTTTTTTTTTTTTTTTTTTAAGAAGAGATTAGAAAATCAATAAAAGTTTGAAAGGCACATTGTAACCAACCCTGATCCGACATCTAGCCTAACACCTCTCTCTTCTCTGAACTAAGTCCTACAGCAAAGCTGACATTGATCACCACAGCACAGCTGCAGCTCTGCCAGATGTACCAGAGGAGCATTAACCCCTATTCAGATTGACAAGCCTTCCAGAAATTTCCATAAGCTGAGCTGGTGGAGGAGGGCTGGTGGCACCTTCCTGGGCCTGCCGGAGGTGGCTGAAAGCATCTTGTCCCCTCCTCAAGATGCTCCAGGAAGGCACCTTGTGTT